AGGGAGGGGAGAAGAGAAGGTGTGGGGGGAGAGAGCAGAGAGAGGGGAGGAGAGGGGGAGGGCAAGGATTGATGTCTTTGCCCCTTCTTGCACTCGGCTGGTTGAGTTTCTTGATTACAATGTTGAGTTTGGATAAAAACTGATTCTGAGATGTTGCTGATTGTTGGATGTAGGATGGAGCCAAGGAGTTTTCTGCCTCTCTCTCCACTATTCAAAACAAAACACGATCAAAACGGAGCACAGGGCGGCGCAGAAAGCATCACCATAGTAACCAGAACCAGCCCAGTGTGCCACCCATCACAGTCAGTGAGATGAAAGATGGCGACAGCGACCGGGAATGCAGTGGTGAAAACTCCCAGAGCTTCTCAGGTAAGTCACCAACCCCAACTCCCAGCATCAAACTCCACCTCTCCCCACACCCTGACCACCTCCTCTCCCCAAATTCCCACTATACACTCCACCCAGGACCTAAAGCCACTGATGCTCCTGATCAGTCTCTAGCTGGTAACTTGATCAATGCTCATATTCACAGATTTGTCGGAGGGAAGTTCCCGGAGTCAAACACCAGTCAAACTGAAGCCAATGTCTGGACCAGATGATGTCTGTGAGACCCCCAGTCCGAGCAAGACCCCCAGGATAACTGAGACTCCTGGACCAACTGAGACCCTCAGAATGAGCGAGAGCCCTGGGATGAGTGAGAACTCTGGGATGAGCGAGATTCCTGGGATGAGCGAGATTCCTGGGATGAGCGAGATTCCTGGGATGAACGAGATTCCTGGGTTGAGCGAGACCCCTGGGATGAGCGAGATTCCTGGGATGAGCGAGACCCCTGAAATGAGCGAGACTCCCAGGATGAGTGAGAGTTCTGGCTTGAGCGACAGCCCCAGGATGGGTGAGATTCCTGGAATAAGCGAGACTCCCAGGATGAGAGAGACCCCCGAACTGGATGTGTACAGTGCAATACCACAGGCTGTAGCTTGGGACAGTGCTGAGGAATCGCTGTTCCGTGTGTTACATGGAACCTATTTCAACAATTTCTGTGCAATTGCCAGATTGATAAAAACCAAGACCTGCAGGCAGGTAGGTAGGTCAGTGGAATGTTTATGGGAACAGGTTCTGAGCTTTGTGCAGGCCCATGAGAAGGAGAAACAAAGAATTAATTAGATGGAGATGGTTCTTTTCACCTTTTAAAATTTGCGGTCATTGGGGCAAACTTGAGGCTATTAAGATTATAAAATTTTCTCGAGTAATGCATATTAACATTAGAAAGAAGTTTGAAACAAATAATTATTTTAATCATCCAGATTACGGTTTGGTTGTTCAGGTTCTGTATCTGGACTGGAGCAGGAAGGAGTCTGCAAAACAGTTAGATTGTCCTCAGTGAATGGGTCTGCAGCCAGGGTTTCTGTGTCTACTGTCTCCAACTCAGAGACAGACACTGGCAGTGAGAGTGAGAGACTCACTGGGAGCAGGAGACTCACTGCAAATGCAGGACTCACTTGGAATAGGAGATTCAGTGGGAGTGAAAGATTTGTTGGGAATGGGAGATTCAGCGGGAATGAAAGATTTG